TAAATCAGTAACATGGAAGAGCACTGTTGGAGGAACTGTTTGCTACTTGTACATGAACAGCAAAGGGATCAGCCCACAATGAGGAGAAGTAGCGGTGTGGTTAGTTTCACTTTGTTGCAGATGAGCAGAATGCTCATTGACATGGCGGAATATAAAGCAAGATGTTACTTGTGTTGTATCTGCCAGTTTAAACCTCCGTGACGTCAGACCAAACTGTGGCCTGCATACCAACATACCAGGTTGATGGTTGTCAGCCCATTAGCAGGGGGAGCCCACCCAGGGCTGCTGGCCCTCTCCTGGCCACCTTCTGCCTTCCTGCCCGGCCCTGGCTCTGGATCAGAGGCAGGCCGCACGTCGGGGGACGGGGCTAATGATGGCTGCAGCCATTCCATCTCTTTTAAGCTCCAGCCCTAGAGTATAATTTTAGCTAATGCTATTTCCTGGAGATAAGACAGAACCCAACTTCTTTGACTTTACTTTCCCCTTAAGAGCTTTGGGAGGCAAAGGGAGGGTAAGGCACTGGCAAACTACAGGATTTGCCTCTTGCAAATTCTTATCATCAGCTGATTGGTCATTGCTAACCTGTGCTAACATTCTCATGGCTGCTGAACTACCAGACAAGTGATAATGAGTCCAGAACCAATGGAGCACAGCAAAGATTGGCCACATTTTGTGTGCAGAACTGAAACTAGTTAGGCGTATCAGGCCATTTGCTCCCCAGTCAGTTCCTTAAGTGGCTTCATCAAGGCTGTGTTATGTAATTATTTTACTCACCCAAGGCTTCTAAATTGTTTCCAGCTTAAAAGCAGATTGTTAGATATTTATGCTGAATGAGGCGGCCTTTGATGTCTTTATTTATGTTTCGATTTTCCTCATGATGCCGCAGTTTAACATTTGGCTACAGACAGTATGAATTTTTTGGTCAGTTTCATTTAATTGGTGAATATAATATCAATCGGAGCAATGCCTTTGAAAAACAATCCAATATGCTATTTCATCATTGGAGAAGACTTGTAAAGGTCTAGCTGTAGCAGACTGACTCAAAGGAGAACAGAACTGTAAGAAGGAGCGAAAATTATCCATGATTTATAACATATTTTAAATTCTAAATAAACATTAATACACTGCAGCTTGTATTTATATATTTAGTGCCCCTAAGTCAGAACTTTGTGGCTGCACGTCTTTTGGGATTTGTGTCCACCAATCTGCATTTCAAGTTTTGCCAAAAAATATCTGCTAAATTCAAGTCTGTATTTTAACTAGGCCATCCTAACATAATCTAAACCATCCATTGTGTCTCTGGCTGTATGTTTCATGTGTTCGTCCTGCTGGAAGGTGGAAGGTACTGTGGCCTCCTCAATGTATCCATCTCTACTCCTCCATGGTATAAACTCTTCAGTAGCCTAGTTGCAAAACCCCAGTGTGGGTACAGCTGTCTTCCAAAATTTGGCCAGACTCTATTTTCGCTGTATGCCACAGCCGGCCTAGATTTAATCTACACAGGTCACATCACACCGCCAGGAAACTGAAGCGCATGATCCTTTTTTAACAAATGTAACAATAAAGACATATCGTATGAGCAAATACCACTATTCTGCTAAATCGATTATGTATGATATAAATGTTAAATTAACCAAAATATTAAAAAGTTTCTCTATTCTCCATGTACTCACCCTTTATAGAGTAAAACTGATGTTTTTCGGCTGACTTCCAAATCATGTAAGTTTACATGGACATACACTACCGTTAAAAAGTTTGGGGTCACCCAAACAATTTTGTGTTTTCCTGAAAAGTCACACTTATTCACCACCATACATTGTGAAATGAATAGAAATTAGAGTCAAGACATTGACAGGGTTAGAAATAATGATTTGTACTTGAAATAAGATTTTTTTTACATAAAACTTTGCTTTCGTCAAATAATCCTCCATTTGCAGCAATTCCAGCATTGCAGACCTTTGGCATTCTAGCTGTTAGTTTGTTAAGGTAATCTGGAGAAATTGCACCCCACACTTCCAGAAGCAGCTCCAACAAGTTGGATTGATTGGATGGGCACTTCTTGCGTACCATACAGTCAAGCTGCTTCCACAACAGCTCAATGGGGTTCAGATCTGGTGACTGCACTTGCCACTCCATAACCGATACAATACCAGCTGCCTGCTTCTGCTCTAAATAGTTCTTGCACAATTTAGAGGTGTGTTTAGGTTCATTGTCCTGTTGCAGGATGAAATTGGCTCCAATCAAGCGCTGTCCACTGGTTATGGCATGGCGTTGCCAAATGGAGTGATAGCCTTGCTTATTCAGAATCCCTTTTACCCTGTACAAATCTCCCACCTTACCAGCACCAAACCAACCCCAGACCATCACATTACCTCTACCATGCTTAACAGATGGCGTCAGGCATTCTTCCAGCATCTTTTAATTTGTTCTGCGTCACACAAATGTTCTTCTTTGTGATCCAAACACCTCAAACTTGGATTCATCCGTCCACAACACTTTTTTCCAGTCTTATTCTGTCCAATGTCTGTGTTCTTATGCCCATCTTAATCTTTTTCTTTTATTGGCCAGTCTCAGATATAGGGCAGGGTATTGTTCAAAAATTTTCGGTTCCGGTACCAATACCGATACCTTCACTTCGATACCGGTTCCTGAACGATAATTTTTTCGATACCAGTTTTATAATATCAATTCGAAGAAAAAGAAAATTACACAACATAAAAAAGTACAAATCTTGAGTTTTATTTTAAGCTCTGATTTTTCCATTTACATTTTTCCTCTTACATAAAAAAAAAAATTCAGTGTCTAATATTCACTGTTACATTGTGGGGACCTTTTTACTTAGCAGTTTTCCTTTAGAAAAATTACCATGTCTGACAAACAAGCCCGTTGAATGGGATCCTACTGACAGCGCACCGCTGGTATGGGGGGGTCTGAGCGGCTCTGACAGAAATATTGGAAGGCAGGATGAACTGACTGCACTGATTAAGTTTTCAGGTGGATTTTCCCACTTAAAAACATAATAAAACTACTTTATTCCCACTGATAACAGCAAATATAGCTCCAAGGCAAATAAAGGATAGAGTAGCTCCGCCCAACGCGCGTCAGAGCCACTTTTTGACCGCGCAGCCAGAGCAGCAAAGCTGCTTCAGCCGCGCGTCAGAAGCTGGTACAAGCAGCAAAAAGGAAGCAGCAGATGTGATTTTGCTGCTCCTGCTCCGTCCAGTTTGAAAGCAGCACGATTCACTCCGCTCTGGCTTTGCACTGCCCACGGGCTGCTGAGAGGAGGATGGTTGCGCTGGCTGCGGTCCGCTCTTCTTGCAGTCAAACACCGAGCAACTTTCTGCTCTTAAATTGTTTCCGTGCACGATGTATTGCATTGCGCACTTTTGGCATCAGTCTTAATAAAGTGAAGCCGCACTTTTGACCTGGGGGGCATTTTAAAGGGGTTCCACGTCGCTCGCAACCAGTTCACAACAGATACACATGAACCCTGGCTGTAGGCGTGACCACCTGTGTATTTTTCCTGGATGACGCAATCACGTTAAGTGTTACAGCCAATCACCGAAACTTGGTACCGAAAGACGAGGCATGTTTCGATACTCTGTAGAACCGAAGCATTTCGGTCGGTACCATAAAAGAACCGAAGTTCGGTACCCAGCCCTACTCAGATATGGCTTTTTCTTTGCCACTCTGCCCTGAAGCCCAGAATCCCGCAACTGCCTCTTCACTGTAGATGTTGACACTGGTGTTTTGCGGTTACTATTTAATGAAGATGACAGTTGGGGACCTGTGAGGCATCTGTTTCTCAAACTAGAGACTCTAATGTACTTGTCTTCTTGCTCAGTTGTGCAACGCGGCCTCCCATTTCTTTTTCTACCCTGGTTAGAGCCTGTTTGTGCTGTCCTCTGAAGGGAGTAGTACACACTGTTGTAGGAAATCTTCAGTTTGTTAGCAATTTCTCACATGCAATAGCTTTCATTTCTAAGAACAAGAATAGACTGTCGAGTTTCAGATGAAAGTTCTCTTTTTCTGGCCATTTTGACCGTTTAATTGACCCCACAAATGTGATGCTCCAGAAACTCAATCTGCTCAAAGGAAGGTCAGTTTTGTAGGTTTTGTAACAAGCTAAACTGTTTTCAGATGTGTAAACATGATTGCACAAGGGTTTTCTAATCATCAATTAGCATTCTGAGCCAATTAGCAAACACATTGTCCCATTAGACACTGAAGTGATAGTTGCTGGAAATGGGCCTCTATACACCTATGTAGATATTGCACCAAAAACCAGACATTTGCAGCTAGAATAGTCATTTACCACATTAGCAATGTATAGAGTGTATTTCTCTAAAGTTAAGACTAGTTTAAAGTTATCTTCATTGAAAAGTACAGTGCTTTTCCTTCAAAAATAAGGACATTTCAATGTGACCCTAAACTTTTGAATGGTAGTGTATATAATTAGACGGCCAATAAGACAAAAAATGTGTCATGTCAACATATGAGTCAGAATATTCTGATCAAATTTTGATACATCCAATGTAATGCTTTTACAAGTCACTGATGTTGTTACACCCATTTATTTAAGGGTTAAAGGAAAGAATAAAGAACACCCACTGTGCTTCCTCCTTCAAAGCATGCACATAATGAAAGTTTGCCCACAGTGGGCGTGCGCTGAAGGAATTTAGATCCTCTTGGCATTAGTTTTTATCTGTGCCCTTCTCTTTGAGGGCGGCAAACCAGCTGTACAGGCTATGCAGAGCTCACCCATCTCTTCAAGTGCCGCTCTGATCGCAATCATTCAGAAATTCTCCCAGAGATTTTTATCCTCATTCCGCCCTGTAGTCTGTCGTGTCTGTATCTCCCAGCTCCCATGGCTGTTCCCATGCAAGCGACATCCTTACAGCGATTCTTCTTTCTTCTAAACTTGTTTTCTAGTTAATCTATTAATTTCGACAAAACTTTTAAAAGTTTTCTCTCTTAAACTGAGCTCTTTTTCTTTGCAGCATCTTCAGTTTCCCACCGGCCTCCCTGTCTGTCAGCCAGACAAGGAGCAGCGAAGTTTCCTCCCAGCCTCCCAGACCAGATTCAGCACTGCCGTCAGGCCGTAAGAGGCTGGGAGCTGACAGAATGTAAATAAAGCGGTGCTTTTCACATTACTTCACTGCTTATTTTTAGCAGACTGAACAAGAGCAGGCAAGGGTGTGCCTTTTTAAAGCTGCAGAGCTTATCAGCTGAATACACTGAAGGATAGAATATATAAATCAATTAAAATCCAGGATGTGATATTTGTGGTTATGGGTTGAGATTTTACTATAATTGGCAGACAGTACTGTACCAACCTTTTTAAACTTAAGCAAAGGATGTTGTCTCACTGTCTCTGCTTTCCACTATGCACAGATGGTCTCAAGAGGTTAAAAGTTTTATTTTGGTCTTAATGTTTTAAAACACAAAGACTTTCTTCCACTTTCCACTCACAAATAATATGCCTTTGCATGTCAGAACCTATTATGTTCATGCTTGGAAGTTTTCAATAAAGCATTCTTATCATCCACCCACCTTCAGGACTCCAACTGATAATACTAGCTGGTTTGACAGGTAAAATAGATTAAACATTGGGAAACAACTTTCTTTCCCAACTTGCAGCTGCAAAGGCAAAAGTTGCTTTTGGGTTAAAAACTCCCAAGAGTTGTCTTTCTTAAGCCTCATATTGTACATTTTGACCTTTACAATGGTAACATGTATGAAGAGCACTATATACACACTTATGTTTGCTTTAAAATAGCTTGACAAAGACTTGGTGTTATGAAACATTGTACTGTTGTGCAACATAGGACTGAAACAAGCAATTATATCAGGTTGTCTTGTCTTCTTAAGGCACTTTTTAGAGCTCATTCAATAAAATCTGCAAGAAAGATTGGTTAAAATTTTTTCTATCTATAGCTTGCTAAATACTCTGAGGCCCCGTCCACACGAAGACGAACCCTGGCCTAAACGCACAAGTTTTTCACCAAACCAGCCTCTCATCCACACGAAGCCGGCGTTTCGGGGGTCTGTAAACAATCTTTTTTTTATTCAGCCTTCAGAGTGGGAAGATTTCGAAACGCCGTTTTCGCGGTTCCATCTTTACGCTCTAACCGCATATTTTTTTTTACACGCATGCGTCATAGCGTCACCTCCAAACACGCATGCGCGACACACACAACAATGGCGCCGTTGCTGCTAATGCTACTCACCCTGCTGTCGGGCTTACAACAGAATCTTCTTCTTCTGGAATATCTCCAGGAAGAACAGAGCAATATCGACGACATAGTTCAGCACCTGAATTTGACTTAACCACGAAAATGGACCCGCAGGGCAACCATGTATAAATATTAGTGCGCATGCCCAACATTTCGTCGCTTATTTTTGCTTTGGCACCACAGCGCCACTTACAGGCCTTGCGTACATTTTGCAGCGTTTTCATGCATTCGTGTGGACGCTCACATTTATTTTACGTCTCCGTCTTTACGGCAAACGTTTTGGAAAATATCAGCGTTTCGTGTTCGTTTTGACTTCGTGTGGACGGGGCCTGAGAGAATCAGGAAATTTTTGTCTTGTTATGTAAGTGGCAAGAGCAGGAAAAAAGCTTTTGTTTTCTAGTGTCCATACTCCACCAGAAACTCAGCTGCCAAAGTCCATGCCACTATAAGACACGTCACTGAAGATCGACTGAGAGCGAGCTGAGCACAGCGCAGGTGGAGAGCTGAAAGTATGGGGTTGTAGACTTGAGAAAGAGCTCATGGTGTACCCTTGCGTCTTTGGAAAGATCGCAAACATTGGTTGGAGCTTGGTGCTTTGGGTGGGACATCCTTACTAGTATAATTTATAAAGAATGTGCTGCAAGTAAGCAGAAGATGCCCCATGTTCGACCTAAACTACCAGAGTTGAATTGCATGATTAGTGCTAAGTTTATTCAACACACATGCATGGAATCTCTATTTTTCAACCTAAACATGCCCATCTATATCCTGTCCAATCACAGGGCAGTAGCTGGACACCCTCCGAAAAATAAGGTCTGCCCAGGTGATGTGTCAAGAGCAAGCAGAGAGTTCAACCAAATGACGCTAAGAGAACAGTTAAGTGATTCACTGAGGGGGATGAACACGTTTTTCAGTTCTCTGGGAGTATGTAGCAGCCCTAAGTCGTTGACTGGTGGGAGAGTTTGCATTGTCATTGATTTTACAGAATGAAGACATGTTCAGCCGAACCAGGCTCAGGGTGAACAACTGACAAAGGGTTTAAGCTGACGCAAACCCTCAAAAGCAGTAATCCAGGAATACTTTCTTTTTGAAAAGTAAAGGTTTAGTTGCTGAAATTACTTTATGTAAGATACCAACAAGGCTGAGCAGATGAACTCTGAGCCAGTATTCAAGTCTAGAAGACGAAAGAGACCAAATACAGGTAGTCATATTAAAAGCTCGATCAATAGCAATGCTTAGGAAAGAGACAATGTTAACCACTGAGAGAAATTACCAAGGAGATCATTTGTAGAAAAATATTACTTTCCTTCAGAGGATCGAGCAAAATTAGAAATTTAACGGATATAATCATCATGTATCAATAATTTAGTAGATATAAAACATGCTGTTGTCTAGCCTTTAGTTGAAAATACCTGCTTATTATCTCTGAACCACCTTTTGAAAATTCCTTAGACAATTGTTTAGGTGTCTGTTGTCTTTTAATCAACATTTTCTACCATGTGTTGCAAAGTTTTAGTTTTAAGAATGACAAACATTCCTTGGACCAGACTACATTATTTCTGAAAATGGCCATGACAACTAGACCAATTCCAGTTTGGTTTCAAAGCCTTGCTTGGCATTTAATCTGCTCTTTTAAAAGTTTTTCATATGTATCCTGCTACTGACCCTAATAATTGCGTTGTTCTTTTGCTTTAAAATGTAACAACTGCATTTCATCCACACAGTCACAAAATATAACATTTTATCTTCATTACCATTATTTGCACATTATGCTTACTGTGTGTTTTCGTACATCAGTGCCTAATTACAACGAAAATGCTAGTTACTGCAGGTGTTATTGCTGGAGATGTTAATGATTACTGTTTTATTATGATCCTGCGTATTTCAACGTTTTACTATTTTTATTTAAAACCATCTGCTCTTTCTCTTTTGCTTCTTAACTTAAACTTTTTTTACATTTCTTATTTCAGCCCAAAATTGTTTACTTTATGAGACGTTTTCAACTTTTTTTTCTGTTCTATTTGAAGGAGGGTAAAAAGTTTCTTTTCTTTGGATTTTAAAATTTGAACAAATATTATAAAACGTCAAGTTACCTTGCCGCATGGTAGTGCTTCATAAAAGTGTTGCATTGGAATTAATAATACTTTGGAGATGTCATGGGACAATCTATACAAGGAAGTGGAGAATAAAAAAATGGAAGGAAATTATTAGATTTTTTCAGTTTTTTTGTACATGATCATTTTGTGTTTATTTAGCCATCTGATATATAATAACCTGACCCACACTCTCCAGTCTTCTGCTGCTATAATGTTGTTTTTTTTTCAGGATTTAGCTGCATCCATTTTGTAGTCAACTCTGACCGGTTGAGTGCTCATGGTTAGGAAATGCTGCCCCACATAACCACAGGCCATGTCTGTGTCTTATAATGGGGTTATTTTGCTTGTGGGTCATCATGAGCCTTAAAGGGATAGTTCGGGATTTTTGACATGAATCTGTATGGCATCCCCATCACCAGTGTCATGCAATCACACTGACTTACCCCTGGCAGCATCCTGTGAGCAGAGTTCTCGTCCAGCTTTGGTCAAGCCGAAAGTAGTCCGGCAGGTTTGCTAGACCCAGCAAAATAAAACGTTTCTCTTCCCAAAACATTATGTGTTCAAAAGAGTGATATTTTTGCATCCCAAAAACATTGTAGTGGAAAAAGTCACAAGTCGTTATCACTTGGTCCTATTTTCTCTCTGTTCGTATCAGTGCGCACGACACCATGACCTGACAGCTAGGGCCTACTAACCTGACAACAGCCAGATGCATGTCTCGCTCCGCCTAGCTCCTAGCTGGGCGGAGCGAGGCATGCATCTGGCTGTTGTCAGGTTAAGGGCCTACCTGTTTGATTCGCGATTGTTTACTACAGGGGAAGATGTCTGACTACGAGAGCGACGAGGAAAACATCGACTTCCACTTAGAGCCAAAGGGATATCTTTATGAACCCGAGTACACTGACGATGAACTTCGACAAATGGAGTTAGATCGGGCAGAAAGAGAGAGGGTGGACAGAGAAGTGATGGAAGCTGAAGCCGGAGCCGCAGGAGCCTCAGCTGGAGCTGCGATATCCAGGGTGGCCGACAAATCATGGTGCACTTGTTTCAAGTGCGAATTAATGCAGACAGAGGTGGATGCTACTGTTGCCACGAGTGGGATTTAGTAATGCCCGAGATACAGAACCTTTCCATTGATGAGGATGTCGGAGTTGCAGCAGCTGCTGTCTGCATCACAAACAACAGCGACTTCCCTGCCCTCCTCAAAGTTGAGCTCGCTGTCAGAATGACGGCGCGCACTGATACAAACAGAGAGAAAATAGGACCAAGTGATAACGACGTGTGACTTTTTCCACTACAATGTTTTTGGGATGCAAAAATATCACTCTTTTGAACACATAATGTTTTGGGAAGAGAAACGTTTTATTTCGCTGGGTCTAGCAAACCTGCCGGACTACTTTCGGCTTGACCAAAGCTGGACGAGAACTCTGCTCACAGGACGCTGCCAGGGGTAAGTCAGTGTGATTGCATGACACTGGTGATGGGGATGCCATACAGATTCATGTCAAAAATCCCGAACTATCCCTTTAAGTTCTTCCTAAAAATGCACCTCAGGTTTAGGGTTATACCTTGCTGTTCTTTTTTAGTTATTTAGTTTTAGGTTTAGGTTAATTTAGTGCATTTGTATTCAGTGGAGTTGTATTTTAGCAGTGATGATAATGAATCACTTCTACTTGGAGCCAGGCCGTATTAAGAATAAACAGGTAGTTATGATACTGTTGCTACATATTGTGATGTCAATTTTATTTAAGCAATATTTTCCTCACCCTTCTTTTATCATAATTTGGTAAACACACTATGGCACTACGGAAATTAAAAATGGCCTTTTTCTTACCAGTTTCTTTTACAGCTCAAGGCTAAATCCTCTGTTCCCAACTTGACCCTCCAGCATCCCATTAGTTAAATAATGTTTTTTCCTGCCTCTCAGGTTTCTTCATCTGAAAAAAGGAGAATATTCCATACAAAAACAAAAAACGAAAATTATCTCTTCTTTTCCTCCTTGTGCATTGAGCGATTTGCCCACGATGGCCGGGAGAAAATCAAACATGTTTGATTCTCTCCCGGCCTCACGATACCTGATCGGGAGGTGGTCGTGAGAAGCTGATCGCCCCTGTACACTATATGACGCACGATCAGGCTGAAACTCGGCCCGATCGAAAGATTCTCGCACGACTGGAAAATCGTACAGTGTACGC